TGTTCAAAAATAAACAATTAAAAAAAAATGAATCAAAGTAAAATCAGGAGAAACTCCACCTCATTAAGAGATACATAAATGGTTGCGAAGCAGCGAAGCATTCTACGCAGCATCTTTGGCGACAGTTACCGTGGGAATAGCTGATTTACTGGCACTCCCGTTGTGTGGCCGACTGTAGCTGGTGAAGCTGGGTGTGTGAATGGTACGGATACTCTTCACACTCTGACTCAACATAGTCGGGGATAAAGGGGAGTGGTAACAGGAAGAGGAAGAGGAAGAGGAGGAGGAAGGTCGACCATTTTGTGTCTGTGTGGGAATAGAGAGGCCTTTAGTGCTGTGAGTGGGAGGGGCAAATTTTAAAGAACCATTAGAAACAGAGGGGATATGAGAGGAAGGGGTGGAACTGGATCGAGGAGGGATAGAGGATTTGCTAGTGGGAAGGGAAGAAGATAAAAGAGAAGAAGAATTAACAATATTAGTAGAATCAGACTGGGACAAGCCTTTTCCCATACTAGAGGAAAAAGCAGGAATTTTAGAAGCAGGCACGGTAGGAGAAGTGGATTTGGGATCTCCTCCAGATCTCTTAGCACTTCCATTAGCCTGCAAACAAAGATGCCAAAACACACTGATTGTCAACATAGGGAATTTATGATTAAAATATGCAAAATTTCTAGGCATGTTTTAAATCATTCCACTGGGATCTACAGTTAATCATGACATATTATCAAAGATAGAAACTACATATATAAATTAACTATCTGTCTTGAGGGTGAGAATATAGAAAAATATACATTTAAGTAGATTGTAAGAAGGAAAGGAGAGTGAAGGTGAGGGACAGTAGGATTGTAAGTTATAGAGTGAGTAATGCGCAGAGTGAGTGCAACCAACCAGTAGTCATAACCAAAGGAGGCTCCAGGAGGAATAGAGGAGGTACAATTTGGGAAAACATCCACAGGATAATGGGGACTTAGTGGATTTGTGGACCCTGGGCAGTGAGGCTAGGGTTTGCAGATTCCTCCAAGAGGTAAACAGGGAAAGGGTCCAAAAATGGGATAAACAGAGAAGCATCCTGGCTTACAAAGGAAGTTGAAGTGTCACAGGCACTGGAGTGTGTAGGGGTTAGATTTCAGTGGATTTTAGTTAAAGAGACCCTAGTCTAAGCATTTGATAATGTTAGGTAAGCAGTGGCTGTGGTGTTTATATATCTTTCTTTACCTATTATAAATTAGTTTGTCCTTTACAGCGCCAAAGCCACAAGCAAAGCAAACATGCAGAAGCATTTGATGGTATTATAAAATAACAGTCAGTTGCCTTCGGTCACAGCCATTCAAAAAATGTAGCAGGAAAAAACATCAACATTTCAAAGAATGGTTTCGGCACTAGGCCTTTAACCAAAGAAGGGTTTGTTCGGTTTTATCAGGTTTTTGTTAGTTCTTTTCCCTCTCAATACAAGCCCTGCAAAAACTGACTTTCCTCTCGAGAATTTAGTCTATGGCTTGGTGTGTGTATTTTTCTGACTGGACAAGTGGTCCTATGATAAGACTACCTGGCGGAACTGCCTCTGAGAGTCCTGTAGCTTTTGCGGTTTTGTTGCCCTCTCTTTCTCTGAGGTGCCCGGT